CTCATCCAATGAGTCTGGCAAGGGTTCTTTTACTTCTTCCTCTTCCTCCTGTTCCTCTTTTCTCAGCCTGGTGGGATAAAGAGTATGATTAAACAAGAAGGACTGGATGCAAGAGTCCCAGGAGTTGATGATAGAGGCCTAAGGGAGTGGTCACAGAAGGTCAGGGGTACTCCCTTTAAAAAGGAAGAAAAGGGTGAAGGCAGAGTATAGCTGCCTTCGTGACATGAGACCCGAGAAGAGGTTCATTTTACTGCCTGGACAATTAGCTGAGGGAGTAGGTGTCTCAACTCTCTTTGTATGCTACCACCATGACCCACAGCACACAGAGAACATACACAAGTTCAAACTTTTCTATATGTGTTAACATACAACAGTTAATGCTTCAGAGACATTGTAGAGTCCAAGACATCTAATGCAATCCAGTATATGGAGATATAAATCTCCATTATCCAATTTCATGGCTATGAAAGGCCTGCCAACAAATTAAGGTCAACCACAACAAAACAGATATACATCTCATCCTCAATTGATCAATACCCTATATATTAGTCTCATCCTCAATTGGTCCATATGTATATTCTGTGAGTTAAAAATAAGAACTTTAGTGAGATTGATTACGTCTACCTGGATGTAGACCAGAACCAGTACAATGGGCACCTTGTTAAAAGATGGACTTCTTCATTGGTTGAGGAATATAGTCATACCAGCAGTTTTTGTTTCCCTTTGCATGTGAAATATGTGGCTACTTTGAACCTCTTGGTTTCATTATGGGGGACCCTTGTCATATTTTACCATCCTTTCCTATGCCCTTGGTATTCATTGTTACCTGGAAGCCTGTGATTCCTACTCTTTTCCATCTTCACAATTTTCTGAAATCAAATTCAGAAATGTCCAGTAGGTAGTGAGTAGTTCCACATCACTCATTACAGACACATGGGAGCCTCGGAGCATGGAGCCATGGTATCAATGTGTGACCTTTGTATGGACATAAAGTTCTCCTCTAGATGCAGCTCGTGAGGACTCCATTGAAAGAACTTCAGTTGTACCAATCACAAAGTGGGGGTCCACTGCAAATCATGATTGTGTACATAGGACTAACCAGATTGCAGAGGTACAAGAAACACAAGAGTAGTTGGGAAGGTCACAACCCAAGTCACAGGCTGACTAAAACCTAAGAATAAATTGCAGGACTGTTGAAAGAGTCCTGTCCTTCCACAACTCACCTACATAGCAACAGGACTCAAATAATAACAGGAGAATTAATCTGAA